AAGGTACGAAACCATAAACACTTTCAGCTTACGTGATAAAGTTTGATGTGACCACCAATGCAAAAGCAGGCCCAAGAAGCTTACGCTACTGTGTAAAGCTGAGTTGTAGATTTAGGGGAAAGCAGATTCTCAAAAGTCTAATTAAAGTTGATGGCTATTAACAGTGGAACAATTGGAGATCATGAGAGCAGAAAACGGATCGGCGGTATGTTGAATGTTGAACATGGTTTTTATTTTAAAAATCTGTTAAAGGCATTCACTTGCTAATTTTTACGCAATGAATTCACAATTTTGACACATGTGCAAATATTTGGCTTCACTAATTTGTGAGCATATAATTGTTGATTTTTCTATATTGTTAAATTAACATGTGTTATATAGACCATCTACAAGCAATGCAATATTTCTTTCCCAACAAAACTGTGAAGGAAAAAAACCTATTTTATCAAGTTTCTTCAAAAAATTTCAAAATAATCTATCTACAAGTATTGCTTGATTTGCCCATGGATACAAACAGTGTTGCCTATCTACAACTAAATTTATCAAGCAAGGAGAGCTGTTTTAAAAAACCTTACCCTGGAAAACAATACACAATTCAGCCTGGCTTGTGGAAATTAATGTCGTATAAACGGTCATTTCATACCGCAAAATCGGTCTTTGGACTTTTGCTCTGACTTAAAAAAGTAAATAAATAAATGAATAGACTTGTAATTTATTCGGGCCTTATCGCCATGTACCTCTCCCTCGCTCAAATGTGCGTATTTTGATTATGATGTCTCTGTTGCATGAACGCAAGCTCACTTTTCTAGACACACTCCAAAATATGCACGTGAAAATCAAGCGCAAAGCCGAAGGACGTCTAAATTCTTATTAAAGTTTAAGCTTTCAGCGCACCCAACTAGTAGGGTTATGTACTTAACTTTTTGACATTCACATTACTTCATCTTCGCCGATGTCATTCGCTAGCATCAACAGTAGAATAAGGAAATTGTTTCAAGAAAAAGAAAGACTAAATCGTCTTAAAATATCGCCCTTGAGCCTATCAGTTGATTCCCTGTTACGATTCTGGGTGTTTAGTGAACGCCCCCATGAACTGTCTTACTTGTCTTTGTTTTGTTTAGTTTTTTTTTTTTATGAATTTTGCCCACTCCTAACCCGTTCCAGGGTTCAGTTAGTAAAACGGAGCGAAAACGTAAACTGCGCGACATTACCAAAAAAGAAAAACGAGGAAGGTTTGGTTGAGGTCGCGTAGAGAACGGCGTTCATTAAGCAACCCGATCCCAAACCTCCTTCGTTTTTCCACTCGTCCGCTACTATCGCGCTATGAATGCCTGGAACAGGCAGCTCACTTGTTTCTGTTTGTTTTTGTTTTTGTTTTTTTTTTTTGGAAGCGATTCAAAACACTATCTCTTTCAACCAATCAGAATCATAATTCATTATATAGCTGATGAAGCTTTACCCGCCTTTGGTACCGATTCTTACCCTTGTAAAATTATGATCCCCTATGAACTAGTAAGCACGAAAAATAAATCAGTTCACACGTAAAAATCAGCGCACTCAGCTCAATAAAATTTTGAGGGATTCGTCCCCTTGAAGAAATATCTAATCAGCAGGTTGCAATCAGCAAGGTCAATCATCCACTTGTGTTAAATAACTCGAAGGAACGTATCCTTTTCGTCCTTGCGCCTCGACGAGCCACCATTCGTCATTCCCTGTCAAATCTTGCTTTTGTAAAACTACCACTATTTGCCCTTCGTCTACACTCAGCTCTGCTGCACTGCTGGCCTCAAATGCGAAATCAGCGCAGAAACGTAACGGAGCTGAAGTTTCGACTGCGCTTTTATCTTGATCCTTCTCTGCCATCAAATTACTAACAGAAGAACTTTCACCATCTTCAGCATCGGCATGGCCATCCCGCTCGCTGACATTGTCGCCCACCGGGGATAAATAGCTCTCCGGCACAAAACCCGTAGAACCAGCATTTGAGCGAATCAGCCACCATTCTGGGTTACCACTACTGTCCGAGTGTTGAAGGACGGACACGATATCTCCCTCGGATACCGACAACTCCCCTACACTTTGGGCTACGAAATTGTATTCGACAACGTAGAGTTTGCCATCTCCGGGAGATTTTCCTTCTAAACGTGAGATATCATTATCTTTGGACTCCTAGGAAAAGAAGAAGAAACAATTCCATCTTTTCTCTCTGGCCAAACATTTACGCTCGTCTCTTGAATGCGTCTCGCAATCACTTTCACGTGCACGCGAGGCGCTCGTTTTCCTTAAAATATAAACTAAAATATACAAATATTTTTAATAGGCTTTACCATTCAGATCGTCTGAGTTCTTGCTTTTTTTTTTTTTGACACCTAAAACATATAAGAGGTATACTTCGTGCTACATGGCTCTTACGCCTGCAAATTTACTCCACCAAGAGTCAATGAGAAATTCAAATGTTGCGCATGAAGTTGATCGATGATAATGAATAATCAAACAGCTACTCACAAAAATTCATCTAGCTTTCAACTAATGTAACCAGCCCACTTTATCTCCTGATTAAGAAATGGTTTATGGAGGTTATGCCCCACTGCAAGTTTCCCCTACCATCTTTGCGAGTTCGCCCCTGAAGTAAAGTGAGTTCGCCCCCAATTCTATCAGTTCGTTTTCTGCTTATTCCAACAGAACACGTTGAACAGAATACCTTTTGCCGTAAGGAAACGAGTTGAAAGATTTTGCGAGCGAACTTGTAAGAGGTGGTGGGAGGAGAGCTTGCAATGGGGTGAAACCTCCAGACACTTAAAGAAATCGTGAAATCGTCACACAAACTTCGCTAACGTACTTAAATGTTATTTTCAACTCCAAAATAGTAGTCAGTTTATTCTATAAATAAATAGTGACTTACAGGTTGTGTTATGCTACTGAGTCTTCGAGGTGCTGGTCGTGGTTGTCGAATCCTAGGAGAAGAGGATGTTGGTTCCTCTCTCTTGGCCACCCCTACCTCCCCACCCTCTTCGTTAGGTGTAAAATCTAAAAGACTAGTCTTGTTTCCGATATCATCTTCTACCGTATCCTGGATAGACAGGATACAAAAAATTAACTAAAAACGCTGGGTAATTTCGATAACCTGCGTTACTTGTGACCTTCAAATTCTCTACTAGTGGACTAACAAAATATCAATTTCAAAATAATTATTGAACACAAGGATAGAATCCGAACAGTATAAAAATGACACTTTCACACAAATCAGAGTCGAGATAAAAATATCAGACCTACTCGTTTCAAGGTTACGTTGTACAAATACATCTACAAGTAACACTGTCGTACATGAAAAAAAAAACTTTAAAAATCGTCAACGGAACTACACACTAATCGAGATCAGTTGATCAGCGGTTGGGGACCGGTCATTAATTATCACCCAAGGGGGGAGGGGGATCAGAAGCGGGTCAGAAGGGGATCAGTCGTCGCCAACAGAACATAAAGGGGAGACTACTAAAAATTGCTAGTCAGTTAACTGCCAATGATGGGGGGGGGTGTTATAAGAATATTACAGAGCCTCTGGTTAATTCTATCGTGACACAACCAAAATCTTCCAACCGACCGCCCCTTCCCCGCTCAAGGGATAAATAATCACTGATCCGTTCTAATGCGTAGAATAGTGTAACGACCTAGCCCAAAGCTGAACAATAGGTTTTACCTAAACAAAAAACTTACAGGCTGGTTGGATGGCATATTTGGGCTTTTCACTGTTGATCTCCTCTTCTTTCGAGAACTGTCTTTTGCCACAAAACTACAAGGTATAAAGCTGAGCTCTGAGAACTGTTCCATAACTTCCATCGATCTCTTGTTATGATGCTCGATAACGTCCTCTTCCATTTCCTGCACAACTGGAAGCTATAAAAGGAAAACGTTCATAAACAAAATGTCTGACCTAAGAAACTGTTTTAGAATCGACCAACGTTGCTTGATTCGCCACGCAATTTGAATTCAGTTTTGTAACCTCTGACCAGAAATGTATATTTTTCTCTGTTTCCCTTCCTTCAAATAGACAGCAAAGTCAACACCAAAATCAAGAATGTGTTAAACCTTTTACAACCTAACATCAGTGTGCATATTCTCCATACTGTTCTCTACACATTTCCTAAGGTGCTGTCAGGGAGAATTTGTTTAACAATCAAGAGCTTCTTTAGTTGACGACCATTTCCTTCATTCTCATTGACCTTCACAAGCGATCCAGGGGGTGAAAGCGTGAGGAGAAATTAGATGTCAATCACTCTCAGGTAGTAGTTAGTAGTATATTAATAGTTTCTGGGTAGAAAAGACCCTTCGACACGGGTCAATGCTCAAGACTACCGCTGAGCAACACCCAGTGTAGGCCGTAGAAAAGTGCCATATACGGCACAAAAATGTTCACTTGGCTTGACTTGATTTAAGACGTTTGCATCCATGTGAAATTGCAGTACCTGTAAGAGTTGGTCGTAGTCTTCGTGCACTTCACTGTACAGTTTCTTTTGTGCTAAAGCAAAGTTTTCCAGACAGTCTAGAACTAAAGCCATACACTTTTCGGTAAATCCAGGAATCTCTTCCAACAGTTGAGTGTTCAAAGCCTCGTAGTTTTTCTTGGCAAGTTCCAGCTCTTCTTTGGCCTACAAAAGATTTAAGTCCGACGGAAATCACACAGCATCCTTTACTGAAGTATAAACCTCAACCATCTTGATCTAAAGATTCTGAATTATTATAATTCTCAGTGAATTATTCCTCTCTCAAAAGGAGTCGTTATCCGGCCGAAACCGCAGCCAAGTCTACCATCTTTCACCTCATTTTACAACTCACCGCTTTCAACTTTTCCCTGTCTTTAATCTTGTCAATCTTGTTTGACTTGTGGTCGTAGTCCAAGCATTTGTCGTTTCGTTTCTGGATTAAACGCTGGGGGCCTTGGAACAAGTTGAGTAAGGTATTGAGTGGAGATAGAACCTCCGTTTGAACACTGTCCATCTGTTGAGGAATAAATTTTATTAATAAATCTGGTTCATTTACAGGCTCATTAATAAGATGTGGATGTTCGAATCCTCATAGAAACTCAGACTTTGTTTTGTACATGAAATAAACAACATCGTGCTTTAAACAACAAAATACACTTACGAATCTTGTAAGAACAGTTTCACCAATTTTCATTTGTATTCTCAGAAAAGTAGAAACTTCAGAGCACGTCGAAGCTTCTCGATAAAAGTCACTGACATTCTGCCCTGACAACTTGTGGCAATCCATAGCTTCCTACAAACAGATGAAGCATTCTAATGTGAAGTTCAAGCCTGCTAAGAATAATTCTTTAAAACGCCCGTAAAAATGCTAACTGTTAGCATCATTGAGCACAAAATGTTGGCAGCAATAAACGACAGCGGAAAATTTGGTGGAAAATTTGGGTCGCGACACCAATTTGGCGGGAAAAAAGCGCGTGCACTGCACTTGGCTTAGTTGAACGGCAACTTTTTTTACAGAATTATATTGCGTCCTTGATCTTTGAAGATAAGCAGATATCAAACCGGCTAAACAATAATTCCGAATGACCTTTCCCTACCTAGACAACCACTCTTCTCACGGCGAAAAGTTTCAAACAATTATGGTTACAGCTTATTACATTAAATGACCTTAAAATCCTCCAGGTAAACAGAAATGTTCTTCGACATCGTTTTCACTGTTTTCTCCATTATACGAAATCTTTTCTCTTCTTCAATGAACTTTTCGTCGACAGTCTACAAAGGTAACGAATAAAAAAAAAAAGGTAAGCAAAAGTCCTCCTGTATCGATAAAAATTCATACACTTGTAATAGCTACAACGTGTGTATTCTNTACGGCGGTTCAAAAATAGATAATATATATGAAAATTACCGTAAAGGAGAACCAATTACCAGGGAAAACTTCTGTTTGTATTTTTTGTTAGTGTAGTTTGTCTAGTTGTTATCTGGGCGAGGTTTGATTTGTGACAACAATGAAAAGTTCCACCAGATAGAGAAACACCTTTTTTCCCCCTAAAAACCTGTTACATCCACCAATTAGCCTATTGACCAATTAGATCATCTCTTCCATCAAATACCTGTGACACAAGTCCTGTGAGCTGTGTTAGTCTCTGATTAAACCTGGATCCTTTCTTCACAACTGAATGCCAGTTGAGTTTTTGTATCATATTTGTTAAACCACTGTCCTCTACTTTCTTGTACTTGACAACTATTCGCAAATGGAAAGAAAAATTCTTACGTGCTTTTACTTCTGGACAAAAAAAGAAACTTTTACCACTAAAAATTCAAAAAAATGAAGACAGTTACACCAAGCAAACTTACCAAGATCTTTTCTCCGTTTAAATTCATTGATGGCGTTCGCCACATCAGTCATGACTGATATCGCCTTTATCAAGTTGTACTTGTCTCGGTGGATTTCAGCCGTGTACTGTTGGAAAACAAGAAAAATTAATTTAACAGAATTCGACGGCGCAGTTGAACTACATCGAGGAAACGTGTCAAGGCATTTTGCAACCGGGGAAGTGGGTTGGGGCTCATCACGAACCAAGCTAGGCGCATACACCCTCTGAAATTTCCCAGAATGTCCATTCTGCAGTTTGTTGGCACAAGCATTCATCTTTGAATTCATTACAATGTCCAGTGAGGCCGTGAAAATGCACAAGTCGACAGAAGTTCACAAAAAAATCCCAAAATACATCATTTCGCTCAGCTGGATCCTAATGAGACGATTTAAGAAAAGACAAAGGAGCTGAATGTTTTGCGAAGACAATTATCTAACGTATTATTATCTCACCGAAAGGTGATAAGCTTTGCCCTCCTGAAAAAGTGTTTTACTGCTACAGTCCCCTTCCCATGTGCTCTGCGCTGCCTATATTTAAACCGAAATCTTAACACCACCCCCTATCAACCCTTTTCAACAAACTGAAAGGGTGGGGAGAGTGTCGGAGATCTCGAAGTTCAGCAGTTTAGGGAGGGGTACTCAGAGTACCTTAAGCAACTCATTCAATAAGAGCGGATACTTGAGAACTCTCTGGACCGGCTTAATCAGAAACGATGACAAGTTCCAACATCGCGTGTGTTCCCTAACAAGAGCAAGCAAGAATACAAAAGATTAGAAGAGGATAACAACGCATCCAATATGAAGTAAAACGTTCTAAATCATTCCCCAGGGAAATTAAACTATCGGCGGTTGAGATTTCCTTGTTATTATCATCAACAAGTGGAATTTATCAACCGAGCACAATTGGCCGCCCTGCGTTCAATTCGCTGCCGATTAAATCTGCCACTGTGAAAGAGTAGGTGACCAACTCCTCGGTCTATGTTGCGTCATACGATCTCTCCTTGAGGATAACTCTGATCAAGGGTTTCTTGTTCTTCAAATACCCTTTTCATTACCTAATTTTGTCCAGACACTTTGTAAAGGCATCTTGTATATCTGGTATTTCTTCATACTGCAAACGCAATTATAAAAGGTATTAGTCTATCATATTACGATAAGCTATAATTGTGCTTTACGCCAGGAACTCAACAATATGCAGTCTAGTTTTCACTGGATTATAAGCATCGGGTTATGCAAGTAATCGGAAAAATTGAACCTGTTCCAATTCGCCCGACTAAGATTCCTTTAAGCTTACGGCTCCGCTTGCGTCTTTAATTTTGTATGTTCACTGGCTCGGAAGCTCTCTCTCAACAAAGACAAGAAGTCCGTCGCCAGTGAAAACCAGCTTTATATGATGCACAGTTTTACCTTTTCCACGAGCGAGATAGCATCATCGTGATTTCTACAATACACAGCGTAAACCTCCTTCATTTCGTCAGCAATATCCACAAAGCACTTTCCTATGGAGATGGAGAAGTAACTCTTAACTACTTGATCATCACATTTAAATTGACTTTAGTTGCTAAAATGAACACCCCGACCCAAACCTCCCTCGCTCTTTCACTTTTCCGCTACTATTGCACCGTTTGCTCCTTTTTACAAACAGAACGCCTGGAACTGGCCAAACCATTGTAAAACTAGCATCCACGGACACACAATAAGCACATTACCAAGTTCTTGATCATTTCCTTTCGTATTATCGACAGCGTTTTCTAAGCTGGTTAGAAGTTTCTGTGAGGTTTTCAGGACACTCTCGATATTACCAAACAATCCTTCGCAGTCGAGATCCTTCACCTGTGGAAAACAAATCACAGCATACAAAATTATTTCTGAGCTACAAAACCTTCTCCTTTGCTTCTTTCGGAGAGTGTGGATTATTTGGTAGGAAAGTATGCCAGGTCTTGAGCAACACAAGTGTGTAAGAGGTCCTAGGGTCTAACGCTAATAATGAATACCAGACCCCTAGCAAACCTCTCCCCGACTCGTCTCCAATCTTCCCGCGGGTAGAGAAACGCGCGTCTTGAGGCGCTGATAATGAAGGCCCTAACTATGCTTTGAGGAATATGACTTCTTATTTGTACATGCAACCGGAACTAACCTGAGAGTATTGTAGCTCACGAAGAAAATAATTCACACAAAGCTCAAGGTCATTACAGTAATCCTTCTCTGTATTAATAAGTTCAGTCACAACTCGCTGACTCTGCTCTGCCATGTGCTTTTGACTTGATGCTGCTGGCTTTTCTGTTAGACTGTACAAGGAAGCTGTTGTGGAATAACAAATATCATCATTTACCCCTTTTAAGAAAAAGCCTCAAATTCGCATCGTTCCTTTGCATGTGTATTCAAAACAAGTCCCGTGTGGTTTCCTCGAATATCACGTCCTACGTACAAAGTTTTCGTTATGGACCCAACAGATGCTTCCAAAATTAATTAAAAGTCTGCCAAAGTAAAACTTCTCCGAGATTTCTCCAGTTTTCGTCTGTAGATCCGAATAGTAAGGAGTACCGAATTTCAATTTCATACACTCTTGCATGGTATTGTGAGTTTTTTCCTTCTCATATCGACCTGTTTGATTGCCACTGTCTTCAGATTGCTGAGGAAGGTTACATGTAGCTTACTAAAGAACCTTATCTGGTGGTCATCGTAATCCAAACGAAAGCCACGCTTTCAGCCTCGTTTTATGGTTTGCGGAATTAAGCCAAACAATACCTTCTAATTCAGTGATTTTTGTTCTAATCTTGTCCACAAGCTGGGCACAAACTTCAAGATTTTCCATAACCTCCTTCTTTCTATTCTCTTCTACTACACCAAGTAACATTTCAAGACTTCTCTGACTCCGGATTTGTTTCTGAAAATTTCAGGATATAAGAACATTTACTAAAAAGAAAGGCGTTGAAAAATTATTACGGCACACCCAATGTAGGAGGGTCACAAGTTAAAAAGTTTATTAGTATTGTAACTGTTTCGTGCTACCCTCGGTAGATAAAGTTGGATTTTATTTGATTGATTTAACGTCAATTTTTTTCTTTCACTGATTATTTCTTAATCGAGCGATAGTCGAAAAGCAGGGACTGCTAATGGTAGTCTGGCTGATCTATTGTTATCAACTCATAGTTGATAACAAACCAATTGTTTCACTTTCCCAGAGACGCAGCACAACAGCCTTTTTCCGATAATAATAATCTCACTCAGTTACAACATATAAGTTGGTATGTGACAAGCCTCCTTCATCTAGGATCAGTTAAATATGTATGTCAGAGTGTCCCGCGTGAGAATAAAGAAGAAAAAATGGCAAGTATGAGCTTGGTCATCGAACGTAAACAGATGGAAGATGGAGTAAGTTTCTGAAGAAACAATCGAAACTTCAGCTTTGAAACTCTTTACGGTGGCCAATTTACTTTATCAATTAAGTTGATAAAACCAAAATCATCTTTTTAAGGCAACTTGTGCATAGAGAACTAAAATATGAAATGTTACTGGCCAACATTACAATTCAAATATACTACCCACATCTAGGTCAGTTTCCAAGTCTCCTATTTTAACCTTCAGCATTTTCTTCCGGTGTGACTCCATCAAAAACACCTGCTCATCTGAAAGGGAACATCACACGTTGCGAATACAGACCTTGTAAACTCTTGCACATGCCAACAGTTACTCGACATTTATTTCCATTTATGCTTTTCAAAGACGTTAGAACGCTTAATCATACAATGTATAACCTACTCAATAATACAATTTCACAGTTCTCAAAACCGTGTCATATTTTAACCACCACTTGTCATTCAATCACCTCCACTCGACTTTGTGTATTGGCTTTAACTTTCCAGTGGCATACATGTGCAGCTTCAGATTTCACTTTGAATCTGTACCACCTAAGAACTGATCTAAAGCAATTTTCTCTTTCGGATGCTGATACATTTCTTTGTGATAATTAAAGAGAATTAAAGAGAATTTGGTGTAAGATCAAGACAACAACCTGCTGCTGTCCATTTTTTGTTTTTGTTTTGTTCTCTGTTACTGTTTTGCTTTTTTTTTTTTCACAAAGAACACTTATAATGGAAGTTCAGGGTTAAAATAATTAGGACTTTGAAACTCCCTCATTAAGTATAATTATGTTCTTGCTGTATTCTGTAAAATATAAAAACTAGGATTTTTCAAAATGATATTCAAACCTTGGAGATGTTTTAGTTCTTCCTCCCATTCGGTTATCTTTTGCTGGCTCTGTGAAACCTTAGCCTCCATTTCCCTCTGCTTTACAGGGTCAGTCATGACAAGCTAAAGATACAAGGTAAAAATGGAACATTACACATTTCCATACAGGTAACCATACAGTATAGGGCTTATTATTAAAAACTGGATCATTGGATAATGCAATTCAAGACTTTTTATTGGCTTAGCCATTATGGTATATGAGCCAATAATTATAACATAATTTACAAATATGGCAAGCGTACGTGTCAGTTTAAAATCAAAAGGGAGCTAAAAAATCCCATTTCTTCTCACAAAATAATAATTTCTTGAGGGCATTTTTAATAAAACAATTATTCCACTCGCACTTGTTGGATATGAGATTATTATAACCAACTCGGCGCTACGCGCCTCGTTGGCTATCTATCATCTCATATCCAACGCACACTTGTGGAATAATTGTTAAATATATCATGCTTACAAGTTACTCTGCAGAGTTTCACAAGTCATAATAGCAAAAGTCAGTCAACAAATAATTGAACCTGAATAGACTGCCTTTAAAACTAGACAATGAACTTTAAAAAAGATCAAAACCCATGACACACAGTACTTAAACTGCTTTAAGACCTAGTGTTACCATTTATTATCATGTTGTAATTGAGTACAGTAAACGTTAAGTGTTCTCACAAAATCATAGACTGTTCAAGGAATAGAGTTAATACACACTATAAGTTGGACAAGAAGTATTGGAAAAAGGAAAGACTTGCTTTGCTTCAAGATACTCTGTGAATCTTAACAGTGCTATATGGTGCAATTAACAAAATGCCTGGAACAGGTTATCAAAATCAAAACAAATATAAAGAAAATATCTGTACCTGAGAAATTGTTTTAAAACCAGTGTAAACTTTCATTTCTTTCTGTTGACAAACAAAAAACGATTCAATTCAACACAAGGAATTAAATTTAATAACAATGTAAGCATGTGACAAACTGAATTTACTTTACTTTGAAGCTCATTTGACATGTTTGGGAGGACAGCAATGAAACTATAACAGTTACTGTAACATCCTAACGAGCTCTTTTTAGGTATTTAAATACTATACTCTCCAAATTTACAGCTGCTTCTTTACATGATAAATTTCAAAACATGCCATCACATACCTAAGTCTTGTTTGTTGTTGTGCCAGTTCATCAAATTTATAAGCTTTATCAGTACCTCTTTTCTACTTCAATTTGCAGCATTCTATTGTCTTTACTTTACCTTCAGATTCTCTTCTGCTTCTGCAATCCTTTCCTGCAGTGCTGTTAGGCCTGGAACATCCATTTCATCTGTTGGACTGCCACCTAAAAGAATGCACTATTTTGTAATAACTACATGATCACACACTGCAATCCATCAGCTGATATAAGAACACCATTGAAAATACATTCCTTGAGACACTTTTTGAACAGGTCAATAAACAAAAAAACCTGTATAGCTATCTAAAAACAATTAATTTGCCACAAACCTTTGTTTACAGACTGTTGATCACTTTGTGTAAAGCTGCTGAACTTCTTCTGGTTTAACCGTTCCAGACTGTTTGAACGTCTCAGATTCTGCTGACCCTGAATATCAAAGAAAACAGTTAAACAGCATTATACAAAATAATACAGCAATATTATTGATCATTCAATTCTTTTCTCTTCTTCATTTCTGAAGTTGGAAACACAGCTTTACAAACCTGGCGTGCACCTATTATTTCAGGAATACTTGAGTGGTATTAGACCTGCATGGCCCAATATTTCACAGCATGAAGCAGCAAATCAGGGGTCAGAGTTCAAGCTCTTACCGGGGTCAATTTGTTGTTAGTTTGGGAAAGACAACTGGCTCTCACACAACATTTATTAAACCTCTCTCTAATTAGCAGTATAGATGGGTATTAGGCAGACATACTGTCAACAAATATTGAGAAAATACTATGGGAGCAGCTAACACACGCCAGCATGTTATACCAAAGAGGGAGAAGCAAAACTCCTACCATAGGTAATACAGTGTAATCCTGCATTAGCTAGAGCGCATTGGACCACTTGGTTCATGAGCAAGAATTCACCTGGCAGTTGTTGGTGTTTCATGCCAAACTCATTCCCAGGGTCTCTCATCTTCCCACCCCCTGGAACGAGAGATGGCTGTACAGGTTCTCTTCTCTCACTCCAGGGGGCAGAAAGATGAGAGACCCTGGGAACAAGGTTGGTTTCATGCTTGTCAAAGGAAGAGACTTGTGACTTTGGTCATGTAAGATAAGCCCCCAGATGTGCATCATGCTGTTGGGAGTCTGTTGTCTCTTATAATAGTTCTACCTAACTTAAGTTGAAAATATCTAGCTACCCAAACTTAATTACTTTCTCTCTTACATCACCACTGTCCACCATGTCTTTCCAATACACAGAATGTGGCTTAGCTAGGGGTTTTGATTTATCTTCCAGCCTCGACTTGGAAGATTCTCCTAGGGTCACACCAGCATGTCTTGAACTTTCCAATGCAGACTGAATATTGTGTGGCTTTCCATTCTGTTTGATGTATTTCAAATCCAACTGGTGCTGATGATCTTTTCCTTTTAACATTGAGCCCTTCCCATTTAAGTGACCTTGAGTAAGTCCCTTTGAATTGTGAGCTGGTAGTGTGCTACTACGCATGTGAATTTTATGACTACTATTTCGTTTTGGGGGAGGGGGTGCTGGTCGTCTGGGTGTGATTGGAGAATCATCTGATGCACTTGATTCATTGTTTCTATCCTCCAATCCTCTTTGAGGCAAGGGCAAAAGTGGTGAAGGTAGTGAAGTGCAGTTCCCTGACAGCAAATCAAATTCATCATCAAAATCACCGCTTGTACTTTCAAGTGACATATGTCCACTATTACCACTTCGTTTATCAGGCCAAGTTCTGGGTGAATTTTGATAACTTGAAGGATGAAACTGAGAATGCTTATGTGAAGTTACAGTCTCTGAGGAAAAATATTCAGCCCTCTCTTTTGCATTTGACATTGTAACTCTTCCATGTGATGGCAAAGTAACTACAGAACTAACCACAGTTTGGTGACTTTTGCTTGTGGAGGGTTCTTGTCGGCTTTCACCACCTAAGTATTTCACTGAATAACTTTGGGTTGGTTTGGTTCCAATTGCTGGCCTTGATTTGAATATAGGTTTATCTATTTGCATAGTTTCAGAAGTATATTTAGAGGTAGGTAGGTTAGATGGTAGAAGTGTTGGAGTTGGATCCAAAGTGAAAGATGAATCTAAAAGATAATTGTAAGATTTTCTATCCTTTCCTGGGGAGGATTCAACAGAACTGTTCCCTTGTTGACCCTTGTGCGATGCACTAAAATAACCTGCATCAGACACCAAGTTGTCAAATAAAGCAGAGAAAGTTTCATCAGATGCAAGTCTTTGTGTCCTCCTTTGAAGTTTCCTATCTGAAAACTCAGTGCTTATGTCATAAATAGGTTCTAGATATGCAGCAGGGCAAGCACCACAAATTCCATTATCCAGCTGGCCCTCTATCCAGTTATCGTCGTCAATGTCAAGAACAGTCACAACATCTCCTTTATTCAACTCAAGATCTCCTGAATACAATGCAGTAAAATGAAACATTGCCTTTCCTTTCATTCCACGCTTCCATTCAACATTAGGAATGATTGCACTGCTTTGGTCTCTGGGTTTGGAATATGAATCCACAAATGAAAAGAGTTCATTTTCAAAGGTATTTTGCTCTGGTGGTAAGTCAACTTCAACAGCAACAAAGCTTGAAGGAAAAAGACCAACAATTCCATTGATTTCTCCTTCCATCCATTGTGAATTCAAACGTTTACGAAGAAAGATATGGTCACCTTCACGAAATGTTAATTCCCCTGCACTTTCCCCAACGAATGGGTACACTGCACGGGCACATGGCCTCTCAAACGATTTGATGTAACTCTTTGGGAAGAGCCCAATCCTTCCATTGAACGAGCCTTCCATCCAGTCTTCATCAACATCTTTAATAACCTCTATTAGAGCATCACTCGGAAAGGTAAGCTCACTGTCATTTCGAGCGCAAAATGCAAAAGCAGTCTCCACCACAGATCTATCAGGACTGCTCTGCTTGGTTAAAATATCATTGAGTTCATTGCCTATAAGCTGCCTTGATGGTGCATGTTTGTGTTCTCTTTTATCCTTTAATCCATTTTCTAATCTTTCTGTATAGGTAACAGGAAACCAACCAGTTTCTCCCTTATAACTGGCTTCCAACCAGTGCTTATCAATGTATTGAGTAATTCTTATGATGCCTCCTTGTGGAACAGAGAGTTCACCAGGATTTTCTGCCTGGAAAGAGTATAAAGCCCTTGCAAGAGTGCCTTCCATGGATAGGGACACATAACCACGCTCTGTGAAGAAGTCACAATAATGAATAAGATTTTATTATCAATCAAGAAATCATGGGAAATATAACCCCAACACATGCATGTACTGTAACTGTATAGAAAGAGGAAAATAGCCCTTGCTAGTCTCCAATATAAGAGAGAACTTCAGAGCATCTTTTAAGGCTAAAATCACCTTGAAATTACTTTAAGGTGATTTAATCACAAAAAAGCCTTTCAAGCTAAAATATTAGAATTAAGGTTATGAGTCAATAAATTATAATCACAACGATCAATCAAGGAAGCACTTTCACCATTTTTAAGGCACGAGGTGAAGTCAGCCGAAAATCGCACTAAGTTCCAAATAATGTCAAAAAAGTTATTTCATTCTTTCTAACCAAAATATATGTCTTTCCTTTTTGGACAAAATTTAGCAATTCAGTAGTATAGCTGATTTTACATTCTGACCCTACACAGCTGTAAGCTCATACTTTTTGTCAAGCAGTATTTAACACACTTTACTTCTCTAAAACCAGGTCAAATATGATCAATTAAGTTTGTCATATGCCTCATAATTTTCCTTTGCAGCATAATTTCCATTTTTGTTGTTGTGGCACCCTCCCATAATCCCTTATTCCCTATCTAATAAAGTTGTGAGCTTACACAAAACTGAGCCCTGTTCACACTTTTCTCTACTTTGCTTCTACAATCACAGCACTTGTTGTGACAGTATTGTCACGTAATTTGCAAATATTAATTATCATTTGTTTAATTTGAACACCTGTTAAGTGTAAGTTACATCCAACAATAGCTTGGAATTTGAAAATCGCAAATCCTACACCAACATAACCTAAGTACGTGTAAATCATGTGTATAACATTGCCATTTCTTAACAAACCACAAGTTCATTATCGCATGACGATATCAATCGTCATTAAAAACATGTATATAATGCATCAATTTGAAGGAGTCTGTATAACATTTAGCGTACCACGAAATTGTTTTGATTACCCTTACTAATTCCACCGCCATGACTATACTCCAAACATGATTTATCTTGCTCTCTGTTAAGCATCTCAATCGCTTGGTCAAACGAATACCGGTTTCCTGTTCAACTACGTAAGCACAACAATTATTGTAGCGAAGAACTTGAGGTAAGAATGAATTTTAATTATTTCTTGGCTATGGCAAGCACGTATATAATTTAATTTCACCATAGTGGAAAGCGAGAGGTCACCCCAGACTGCTGGGGATTAGACATTACTGTAAAAAATCGTCGCTTATTACTTTTCGCAAATACAGATCATTCTTTTGATTTCCATCTCTAATTTGCCGGGTGAAGCTATCCTTGTCTGGGCGAGAACAGATGCAATAGGCAAAATTTTCAAGCGTATCTTAGTTTAAGTTGTATAGAAGAGTTATCTCTATATGTCAGCATAGATCAAGAAGCGCAATTGACCCTTTAGAGACGAATAAGCTGCGAGAAATCTTATCTAACGAAACCCAATTAACTCGAGTAATCTATTTTTCACGTTCGTCGTACCTTGCAAGTCCACTAAACAGAAGACATCCCCGTCACTGGATAAGGAGAAGCTTGTACAGAACCATACCTAGGAATTCTATGAAGCCAAAATACGGTTAAAATGAGCCAAAGAGGCCAAAAGTTTCATTTTTGAACGCATACCTTCGCCTCTCCAGTGTTATGTTTTGGCACTTTGAGAAATACACTCATTTCTGGTCAGTTTACAAATTTCTCTTACCCAGGTTGCTCGCAATACCAGCAATCAATGCGAATCTTTCCCAGTCTCCCCCTGTAAAAAGGGACATCCTCGCACACTTCAAACAACAAGAGGAAGATCTGGTGGAAATAATAGAGAATGTATGCTGATTTGTTTTTGGTTATTAAAATCCTCTCGTATACCAAACTGAAATTTCAATAACTATTCCACGTACGAACTCCACTCTCCTTCGAGGATTCTTTGCATCGTGAAATGGACTTTGTGGTACTTCAGGTATTGCTCTTTCTGAGAGCATGTCGATGGGACTCAGGTTGCCTCTGTAGTCAGGATCATTGTGAATTCGTGTGAATTTTTCTTTACAGTTCATCAGCAAATTTCTTCGCTGGGATGTGTTTTCCCCGGTTTGAATCTGTATTACTCTGTAATTCGCTTACTCAAGAGGACACGAATGCTTTTAAGTTGCGGGACGCCGTTATGGATCCTGATCAAGGTAATGAAGCTATCAGTAAAAAAATTGACAAAAGGTAAACCGTAGCTTGGATTTATCCTGTAGGGATTTGGTTAAGCGGCTTGCAAGAAAAACTGCTGGTGGTACCAAGCGCGGAATGGTGAGCTGCTTTGGGGGACCTACTCTAGTCTTTGCTCTGACGAACTAAACTGTGTAAGAGCAGACATCTGTTTTGGAGCCTGCGGGCGCATGATCCACATGCAACTTGTGATGCGTCATTGATAACGCATAACACTGGGAGCTCAACTGCATTTCTTTCCTTTATTCCCTTAAAAGGTGAAATACAACTTTCCTGGGCTGCAAGAGGTACTTAGTAATCCTAGTCTAACCCAACTGCTAAAGCTTTTGCAGTCCATCTTTAGTCTGACAATAAACGCTGCTGCAAACCCAATTAGATCGTAAATACGAGCAACTTAACTCAGGGCCATCCTTTAACGCTAGCGCACCGCGTGGAACTCTGGGAATAGAGCGCCTTAGAGTTCCACAAGGCACGCTAACATCATTTTCATTTTTCTTAGTTTTTGTTTTGACTCGCGCTAAGGACTTTGCCGTAAACGAAGGGACTTTAAGCAGTCAGGACGGCAACGCCACGGAAGACGTCGATTAAAAAATGAGTTTATACTTTTAGTTAGAATTTCGAAAATGGCTGCATGTGTTTACCGTCTCATAGGGCGCCAGAACTCAAACTTAACATAACGCATAAAAGTAGCGTGGAGTTTCAAATGTAAATTAAAATAATTTGCCGCCGCGGTTTCGCTTCGCAGACGACGCAAATTTTGGTGATTTCCCGTTGTTGTTTTGCAAAGAACGGCTAAGAAATGTACAAAGTTTTAATACCCACGTGCTGGGCTATTGTTCTGCCAAATAGATCTATTGTTTTTCCATGTTCTCGTTGCCGTAGCCGTCGGGGTTTGCTTAAAGTCCCTACTAGTATTCTAACAGCACGCACTCTCGGCTCGTAGTCTAATGTAAACAGGATTCTTCGAATGCACTAGTATTGCAGTGCCCGATTTCAGAGTGCGACGTTTAAAAAACTTTAATACAATACCCAGTAATCTAAAACAATCAGTGGAGGTAGAGTACGGTTTTATTGGGCGAATCACCTTTGAGAAAGTTCGACATTTGATGAAAGTACAAAAACAGAAAATAGCTCTTTACTTTTATCCATCTTTCCTAAAGAATCAACGTATGCTGATATACCAAACTTTTTCCACCTGGAAGTAACAAGTAAATCTTCTTTTAATGCTTAATGCCGTTTCTCCGTAATGGTTAATCCAGATTTTCTTATAAACAACTGATTATCAAATTTGTAAAAATGTCTCCATCAATAGAAGATGATATAATTTTCAATCAATGAAAATATGCATGCATATTCAAGGCTAATCTTTATATGAAAGCGTGATTTTGACTTCATTAAATATTTCATAGCTTTTTGCAGTCATTCAGTTAGTTAAACGAAGCGTGATGGTCAACGACGCGATATTGCAGCGAAGGAGTGAAAAAACGACGGAGGTCTGGGTTAGGTCGCGAATCGACCCAGGCCTCCCTTTCGCTCGTCCGTTACTATTGCGCCGCTTACAATTTCGCTCCGTTGTACTAATTTAACGCCCGGAACAGGCTAAATACTTCACAGTGGAGGATTATCATTGCGACTTTAGAAAAGTGTAATCTATTTACAAACTACAAATAATGGTCTCAAATATATTCCTTCATGTCAAGAACACAGTTTCTGAGTCATTGCTTTCTGCAAACAAAAAAAATACAAACAAAAAAATAAAGACCACTGAACGCCATGTGAGAGTCAAACATCTCAGTCGTGAAACGCTGTTGCACATTCGCAGACCTCTCCCCTGAGGTGCTCATTGAGAGTCATTCCACTCCCCTAAGGTGCCATTTGAGAGTCATCCTACTCCCCCAGGTGCTAGTTGAGAGCAATCCCACTCCCCCTAGGTGCTAGTTGAGAGTCATCCCACTCCCCCGAGGTGCTTGTTGAATGTCATCCCACTCCCCCTAGGACAAGTTGAGAGTCATCCCAATCCCCCAAGGTGCTAGTTGAGAGTCATCCCACTCCCTTGAGGTGCTAGTTGAGAGTCATCCCCACTGCCCTTAGGTGCTAGTTGAGAGTCATCCCCACTGCCCTTAGGTGCTAGTTGAGAGTCATCCCCACTGCCCTTAGGTGCTAGTTGAGAGTCATCCCCACTGCCCTTAGGTGCTAGTTGAGAGTCATCCCAATCCCCTAGAGTGCTAGTTGGGAGTCATTCCCACTACCCTAAGGTGCCAATTGGAAGCTACAAATCACCATCAATCAGAGTGCACTAACCAAAGGCTCCAACTCTTTTCTGTCCACTAGGTTAAGCTCGGTGACAAAATAATAAAAATGTTTGTAGCACTGGTTTACATGAGCCTCCTGAAAGAAGACATTGATAACCAAGCCCATTTAGCATCCTGGTGAACATAGTAAAGTAGGCAACTAGGGTACTGGACATGTCATCTGGAGGTTCTTGGTTCCAGTACTCTGCCTTTCTACATGTACTTGGCAGATTTTTTTCACAGTCACTACCTTCAGTTTAACTCCTGGGTGGTGCTTTGTAAAACTGGCAACTGGTAAACCCCCATTCCAACTGGTAAACCCCCATTCCATTTGAATTTTAACTACTAATGCTCAATTCGAGAATTTGGTTCGTTGATTAATTACACTTGACGATGTGGCTGATATCATCACCATTACTAAATTATTACTTGCTTTGAAATGAGTGCAGGATGACCATGAAATACACTCACATGCACATATAAAGTTAAGAAAGGAGAATCAGATAGAGGATGGAAATGAAATACAAGATATGAACAAAGAAAGAGCAAAGGAAGGAGGAAAAATGGATGGGGTTATGAAACAGAAAAAAGAAAAACAGAAAACAAGAAAGGAGAAGATAGAGACAGAAAGAAAGACTGGGGAACTAACAGCTATAGCTGGGGGATTAAGGACAAACCCACATATTTGGGTTTCATGTCTCATGGAATGTACTATATACCTTCAATGCAGTTTTCTTGTATTTGTTGTGCAATGAGATTACTTATTGTACTTACAGCTCCTAAGGATTGTACTTTGTCAAAGTGATGGATGTAAACATGAACAAACACCCTGAAGAGTCTTGTAAGGATCTTCTTGGCAGTTGGAAGAAATGATTTTGGAAATGGAACATCTGAAATTATCACAACATTGGAAATAAGATGCAGTTTTGTCTATCTTATGCAAATCATATTTTTCACTCCCATGTGCCACAAATCGAATAAATTTTCTAAAGCTCATAAATTTTTTATAATCAAAAGTTGTTTTTGATTCAGGTGTAAGAAATATTAAAAAAAAAAAAAATTAACTTTGGTAGCTAACACAATTACTGGTAACCCAGTAGTTTACATTTCATTCGTGGGCTGTAAACAAATAATTCAAATTAAACATAACATTGTTAAGAATCCCAACTGGCCAGAGGCAAACCAGTTGGCTATATGACAAGCATGGCCGAGGATTTGAACTCGGAGCTACCGTGAAACAAATCCAAGTAGTGATCAGGGCAGGACTCAGACTCAGGAACGACGGATTGCGAGTCCGACATGCTGACCACTCGGCCATGCTACCTCCATAAATATCTCATATTAGTATATTTCACACAAGCATAATGCTTTTGGCACATGCTAATTAGCTAGTTCAGAAGTGAATAGCAACTACTATTTACCTCTGAGAAGCCAAAGAGACAAAATTGCATATCAAGAGTTTAATTCCTTACTATCAATTTTTTTTTGTCTTATTGTACTTCTCAGTCAAGAGCAGGAGGGGTAGATTGTAAGATCACACATGCTTTCCAGTGCCAAGCAAGAAGAACAAAACTAAACACAAACACACCACAATCGAATGATGATGAAAAGCTTATTTTTTTATGCAGTGGCCTAGGTACTACTTCTAATTTATGATGACCCCTGGCTGGAAACAGTGCCTTCTGTGTAGGCAATATCATGACAGGTATAATAAAATGTATACATTTATTTTTTGGCATCTGTGTGGTATATACCAAAACAATAATTCATCTCAGTGTTGGAGAAAGTGGTAGATATTTGGTAAATATCCACCACTATTCACCTCCACTTCAGTGGATAATTGTTACTACTTTACACTGTTCTTGTGCTATTACTTTTCCTGATTAAACTTGGCGTCAGAAATCACAACATACATTAACTGTACCTTTATCAATTGGGAATATATCCTCATTGTTAATTTGGCTCTCCACCCAGTCCATTAGCAAGGAGATATACTGAACAAAAACACCAAAAAAAAAGAAATTTACAACACAGTCAACCACATGTGAACATGTATAGAAACTTCTCATCAATGTTAGACTTGAAAATTAAAGTTTTTATAGGGCATAGGATTTCATACAGCAATAAACCTGTACAACCTTACATAAGTGTGCAAGCTCTCTACATATTATTTTAGGATGCTAAAGGGCTAAACCTGATACTTCGCCAACACAACACCTAAATTTCAAATGATGGCGCATTTTTACTATTGGAACCTATTGTTTTCATTTGGCTCTTCCTCCTGGTTGTTGGTCAGCCTTCTGCTCAAATTTCAGTAAATACAATGTAATGGGGGTCATATACCTCCTGTGCTGGAACTGAAGTTGGTTTTTTATATTTGTCTCCATCACACCAATGATACTCATACCTGGAAGAAAACAAGATTTTGTTAATCCTTCAACTTCCAGATGATATTGACATGTAACTTCTCCCATAACATCCTTGCAGTGTCCAGTAAACAGGTGATAAGAATAATTATTTACATTTATCAGGTTGAAGTTGTTATTTTGATCTAACACTAAATCCTTGTGACTAATTTTATTTATGAGAAAATGTGAAGCTGCTAGAGGGAAGAATTAACAATCAGATCTTGAACTAAATAATAATTCCATTAAATTTTAAAGAAGACCTTAGCACACCAGGGTTTTTTTATATATTATATACAGTACACATAGTCACAAAGCAAACTGCACTTTGAGCCTGACCTTTTACCACCAGACATGGTTGGACAGCTCTCATCAGTGCAGACTTCGGCAATTGCTCCATAAATCAAGTTGATTCGATTAAAGAAATCCACAACTGTAAGAAAAGAAAAGAACATTATGCCATAATCAAATGGTAATCAGTGATCATAATTGATGATAGTTTGTCATTCCAAATTATAATTCACCAAATGAATATTCTATAATCATGTAGAAAGATGTTTTATTTGTCTAGTTACGAACATAGGACATAGAAAAAATTCTGAGTCCCCATGAGGAATCGAGCCTCAGACCTTCAGATTCCATGCCTTGATGCTCATACCACTGAGTCTCCATGAGAAATCAAGCCTCAGACCTTCGGATTCCATGCCTCGATGCTCATACCACACTGAGTCCTCATGACGAGTCGAGCCTCAGACCTTCGGATTCCATGCCTTGATGTTCATACCACACTGAGACCCCATGAGGAATCGAGCCTCAGACCTTCAGATTCCATGCCTTGATGCTCAAACCACTGAGGAGGGATCGATCCTCAGACTTTTGGATTCCATGCCTCGATGCTCCAACCACTGAGTCCCCATGAGGAATCGAGCCTCAAACCTTCGGATTCCATGCCTCGCTGCTCAAACCACTGAGTCCCCATGAAGAATCGAGCCTCAGACTTTCGGATTCCATGCCTCGATGCTCAAACCACTGAGTCCCCATAAGAAATTGAGTCTCAGACTTTTGGATTCCATGCCTCAATGCTCATACCACTGAGCTACAGAGAATATGGTGAGCAAGGCCCATTACAAAGTTCATAGATGAAACTCTTATTGCATACTGCTAAGATTGGCAATGTTGAATCAGAGCACAGATTCCAAAGGTCTGAGGTTTGATTCCTCATGGGGACTCAGAATTTGTTCTTTGTCCCATACTTGTGACTAGAGGAAAAACATCTTTCTACGTTTCTTTACTAAGCTCAAAACTTACCTTCATTCTTATTCTTTACATTCTATTATCATGTTCTGCATCAAACGTTCTACAGTCACAGTAGATTATGACAGTCATAACAGTTGGCTGAAATCATGCAATATGCTAATATACAGCTAAACAGCAATTTGTCTCTTCTCTTCTTTTTGCAGCTTGCAATTTAGATGTTTTTCTTCTCTTTTTCCTAACTGGACTATCACCTCTCAGTGTAAACAATTGGTCTTCTTGAATTAAACACTTGGATGCCATCTCTCAGTGCTTTCAATAAAACCTGGCACCCGTTGGAGCTCCGGCGGGTATTCTGTTGTGAGTCGCCGGGTAAATTTCACCATGCTCATTAGTCGCAGTCACCACGCTCAAGTCATACTCAAGTCACTCTCTGGCGGGTGCTGTATTGAGGTAGCCACCTATTTCAAATCTTACTGAAAGCACTTTCTCTTACAGTAACCATAATTTCAGTGCTTTCTCTCGGACTACATGTATATATCTTTCTTCCTTTGTTTTTGTTTCATTGTCATCCAAATAATATCTAAATTTTGGCTCTCTTCTTTTTTTTATGATAGTTGCTGACAAAGGAAGCTACACTGCACTATCCGAACCAGGATCAAAAATGAAAAACAATCACCAACAAGCCCAATTTGAGCACACTGACATTGCATGATAATTAACAATTATTCCACGAGCGCGCGTTGGATATGAGATGATAGATAGCCAACGAGGCGCGTAGCGCCGAGTTGGCTATAATCATCTCATATCCAACAAGCGCGAGTGGAATAATTGTTTTATTAAAAACGTTGAATTAAATTATTAAATTTTATTAAATTTTTAGCTCCCTTTTAATTTTAAGCTGACACGTACGCTTACCATATTTGTAGATTATGGTATATTGGCTGATATACCATAATGGCTAAGCCAATAAAAAGTCTTGAATTGCATTATCCAATGATCTAGTTTTTAATAATGTGTGTTATTTGTGGTAATCCCCAACATAAGTGTTCAAACGTGCCTATAACTATGACCCGCAATAATCAACCATCATTATACTTGATCCTGCCTCTTGTTACAGTTTTTAATTGTGCAGCTATGTCCAGTAAAAGCATTGAAAGAAAAAACCAATTACATGTACCTACCATGTTACATTCTACACGAAGAACAATGATCAAAGAAGAAATAAATTAAGTTTAGTGAAGAAGAAGAAGAGATTTTGTTCAAAAGTGAAAAGAAAATTGCTGTATCCAAATGTGCTAATTTAAAAGTCGAGTAAGTTTCACTGAGTTAACATCAACCTCAACTGTACATGTACATCCGCATTCTGATTAAGTTTGATATCCTAAGATAAAGTTAACATGTAAAAGAATTATCTTTAATGAACTGCATTATCTTAGGAGGATTGTTTAAACAAGATGTGAAGGTTTGATAAAGCCCGTAACTCGATAATTATAAACTTACTGTGAACAGCAACCCAGTCGTTCGAATCTTCATCATCTGGGAGTTTCACGCATTCTTTCAAGTTGATTCCGGAGTGCAATGAAGCCTTTCAAATGCAAAGATGATTCATTAGCCAGAATGCCACAGCTTCAGCATTTTCGAAGGTCCAAAATAGACATGACGGCCGAGTAAACTACATAGTATATCTTGTGCTAGTTTCAATATCAACGAACCTTGGATTGTTTATGAAGTTCATACCGTAATGTTCCCTCTTCAATCTTTCTTTTAGGACGGAAGGTCTAAGAGATAAAACGAAATTGATAAAACTGTTGTATGAGCCCGAAAAGAGTCCGATTCACAAAAATTACTGTAAAATCGTCACAAAGAAGCAAAATAAACACTTGTAATATCAAGGAGGCGGAAACCAACACAATTTGACGAACTTTCGACTCAGGTGAAATGACAGAAGATATTGTAAACATCAAAAGTACCTTATCCTTTTGAAAAAAGTGAGAAAGACCCTTGGCCGCCATGGAGGGGGGATGAAATCCTTTTACTTTTCTCATCCAGCGGAAGTCCCTTCACTATATAATATTTTACTTTTTACCATATAAAGGCAAACTCGAATCAGTTATCGATCGAATTTCATGACTCGTCATCTAAATAAAATAAAAATATGAGCCAGCGTTCTAGAACGTGACAGTCATGCGCGTTTGTTCAAAACTCTGCATTAAGTAATAAGCAAGGAGAATCGCTTTCTAAAATACGTTTATGCTTGATTTTCTTGCGTAGATTTGGACAAGATTAGTTTATATAATGGCAGAGTATTGGTTGATTTCTGCTCCGGGTGATAAAACCCCGCAACAGACTTACACAAATCTCAAAAGCAAAATGACTGGACTCACGGCAGTGTTCTCTCTTCAGCTTCCAGAGCTCAAGGTATGATGAACTGATTTCACTTGTTTGCCTTAGTAATTTGTTGAGAAGTCGCCACGATTGCAGTGATTATGCCTATGTATTGCAAATTGGAAGTTTTTCTGACTGTCAATAAAGGCTTTCTGGTGTTTTCTCGCACATTTATCAAGGATTCCTTTTTTTTACGATCGTAGAGTTGATTTAGTTTTTTTCGACATGTAAAGTTTCACTATGCATCCGTGTCCCTTCCTTGTCCAATGATAATGTCAGTTATTTAATCTACCCGGTTTTATTTAATCATGTGTTCATCTTAAACCTCGATTACGCCTGTTTTTGCTTTCTGCTCCTGGATGATAACTTACTGAGCTGTGGAATTTATCCTCTAAGCAACTGCTCTCGCAAACTTTATAATGGGTGCCAGAATCCCATGCATAAAGTGATTTAGGTGTGAAACAGAAATCTTGCTTTAATTGTCTCAGTGGTTTAATTTCCCTCCCCCCCCCCCAAAAAAAAAAAATAAGATTTTCATCATTTACATTACGCTTGGATTCATAGACTAGTGTATATGTTGAATACGGGAACTCCTATGGTATTGACACAAACAACCGCTATCAAATTGGATCGTTTTTCGACAGTTTAGAATTCAACTTGGTAAGATTATTTTACTCTATAACTGTAAAACAAAGAAGTAGTCCTAAGGCAATCTATTGTTTTGGCCAATGTTTTCTTTACCCCAAGAACTTTATACATAATGATCAAGCATAGCATGTTTTTTCTGGAGGGCACCCTATTTTGCTGACAGTAACCTTGAGACAACGATTTATGATCTGTTCACAGGGCTCAACACTAATGGTAGCCAACTAGCCACAGACTGGTAGAAATTCAGTTTTGGCTAGTGGTTTTTTATTTCCACCAGTCAGTTTGACTGGTAAACAAACTGAAATTGTTGTAACATCTAAGTTGTCACTAGCCATTTTGCTAGTAAGTTGAAAAGTTGGTGTCAACCCCTGGTTTATACTCTGCTTATTCTTGTCCTAATTTTATAACAACTGTATTCATAAGCAAAATGTGCTCGGTACATCAACCAGAGCTGTCACTGAAAGCTGTGAGTTGGCCAGAAGGGCTAACGCTCGAAACGTCAGCTTTTGTAATCGTTACCATTTCAACTTTGTTGATATATCCAAATTATTTGGCCAGAATCACAGGCTAGTCGGCCATTCTTTAGCTGGCAATGTTATAGAGTACAACAACTGAAATACACATACCATCAAGGCAATTTCTTCAACAGCCATTTCCTAGTTTAAGTAGAATTGGATCCATAACATACTAGACTGACTATAGTTCCCAGCATCAACACATTGTCAAAGTTAATACTGACTCTTATTGTTGTTATGGTGAATGTCTATGTTTTGGGAGGGCCATCAATTTATTTCCCTCTTTTGCTAGGTTGGAACTTTGGATACACTTGTGGGATTATCGGATGATTTAGGAAAACTGGATGGTTTTGTTGAAAGGTAAGATTTTGATCTTATGATTACTATATTACTGGAACAGCAGATGTTGTGTGTGAGAAATGTTTTCAGGGACCTAGTAATTGTTCTGCAAAATTGTATGTTTATATCTTGTCTGTAAAAGTTATTTGTACATGTAGGTATTTAATTGTTTTGTATCATTTTTTGTGGACATAAATCCCACAGTAAAGAAGATACAAATTTATCTATTCAGTTAATGTACTCTACGGTGAGGTTTGTTTTCAGGCTGTCTGGGGTGTACTGTTACCAACTGAAGGTGTTTTTTTTATTTGCAGTGTGACACGCAAGTTAGCTCACTATATGGGTGATGTACTTGAAGAACATCAGGTATGATATTTGCTATAACCTCTTTCCTTGCCAGTTTTCCAAACAGCAAGCTATATTATTTTATAGTAACAAGTAGTTTTCACACTTTATGACTTCTGAAAGCTTGGTAATTGTCTTTTTCCAAACAAATTGGGAAGCCTGTGAAATTATCCAGAATTTCCTTCTTTTTTCCCTTCTAATTATATAGGAAGTCGAACCCCCTGAAATTTTAGGTAATATTTTTTTGTTTTTTTTGAAAAATTATTTTAATGTTTAACTAGCTGCTGTTAAGAAAATTAGGCAGTGCTAGTCAGGTGATGCCATTTTTCTGAAAAAGTCCAGAGTCTTTAAGACTAAAATTGTAAGGCAACAACAGGACACAAGTTCTAAATTAACATTGACAAAGTTTCAGATCAATTTATTTGAGTGAACTCGACAACACTATTGAATGATATCTTGCCATCTATTGACTCCTTTGTACCTACCATTAACATTAAAAAATATTTAAAATTGAACAAAAATGATTTGACCTTCTCTAAAGAATGATCTTCTTTTCTCTCAGGACAGAGTAAGAGAAAATCTGCTTGCGAATGGGCGTAAGTATATAAGTTATATAAGTTATGCACGTGTAGATAATTGGCACTGTCTTTTATTTGGTTTTGTGTCTAAACGCCTGTTTGTTGTTGACTTAATTAGATGTTGATTTAAATTATTCCCTTGGCATTTAACTGTGTTACTTCATCAAAAAGTCAGAGTAGCAGTTGATCCTCTTTGAAAAAGTGTTGATTAAGAGGTAACGAAAAAAAATCTTGTCTTCTGTCAATTACTACCTGCCTGTTGCCGATCACATGTTAGACTTGAGTTTTACCTCCATCAAAAACTGTTTGCAAGGTATTCATGCATATTATTTTATGTGTTAAACATTAAATAAATGGGGTATATTTACAATCTCAGATACCCAAGATTATCTGGTTTAGACTTATTTTTCTGTTTTCCTTCTTTATCATTAACATGTTAATTTTCAATTTTAGGTAAACCGTATTTTACTTGTTCGTAATCTTGTGTGAAAGTACCCTAACAATGAAATCAAGCCTGTTGACTATTATTAAATTTTAGCCACTGCTAGATGTCATCAGTTATGACTGCACTGTCGTATTTTAGACTCAATAATTGTTTTCATTTTGGCAGAGGACCTGTCTAACTTTGTAACCAAGTTTCAGTGGGATACTGCAAAATACCCAACCAAACAATCACTGAGGAACCTAACAGAGATTATTAGTAAGGTTCGTTAAGAAAGTTTAAGGTTTAATATCAATAATTAAAAGTAATCAGTAAAGTAGAAAAACAGGGTTGCCAATGGTAAGACACTTAAAAGAAAGACCTTTTTACATGAGTTAAAACTGTAGTTTCTCCTGCAGGCCAATATTGAAATGTTGGTTACACAATGTATGGTTATAAGACACAGTTCTGTTACAGTAGATTAAAAAGAAGACGACTCAACTAGTAGAGTAGATGTTCCACCACCTAATGAAGGTCTTACTGAAATTTTGGGTTGTTGGTTTTTATGAAGGGAGAAAAACCTTCCAACTCAAGAAAATATTCTGTCAGACTAGAATAAAAATCAGCAAAACAATCCATCCTCAAGTGACTTTGTGTTGGGAAATCAAACCTCGGCTTAAAAGGTGGGATGGGAGTCACCTCTCCACTTCACCAGCTTCTCTTCCTCCTAAATGAAACAAAGACACTCGGCATCTTTGTCAGTTCATTCTTGATTCTGCTGACAAATAACTAATAGTCTATTCACCTTTTGAATCATTTTTTTTTTCTATGTTATTATTTAACAAAATGCAGCAAATAACACAGATTGAACATGACCTAAAGAGCAAAGCATCTGCTTACAATGCCATCCGTGGAACTTTGGCTTCTCTGGATAGAAAGGCCAAGTAAGTGCTCTAAGGATAAAGATTGGTTAGTCTCCCATCACAAGGTGTATTACATGTTTTGTTTATCAGGACACTCAGGTACAGTTTGAATTTGAACTTTTCCTGGAAGGTTGGGGAATTTGAACCAGAACTGTCAAATCTTTATAGTGGAATAAAAATGTTTTAATATCGTTTGGTATGGAGGTGTGTTTTAAGGTAAAAAGTGCACCTTTGTGAGCAGATGAATCAGAAAAAATGGTCTACAGGAAAGTTGTGGTGGCTAATCTTGCTTTTTGCAAAAAAAAAAAAAACTTGCTGATCAAATCGGTCACTTAGGTGGGGCAATTTTGGCCCTGAAGGCAGGAAAGGGGGAGTTGAAGCTTCTAATTAATTGAAAGTAACATAACTGATAGTTTTCTTCATGACATGATCTTTGAGACTTTTGCTGGAAATGGGACAACATGGAGAGATAAAGATCTCAAGCATGGCATGCTTACAAAGTGAATTTGCTCTTCCTTTAAACTTCTAACTTCTATGCGCACTTGTGTATGCACACACACACACACGATAATTATGATGGTGAATAATATAATTGAAAGGAATTTAAATCCCCTGATTAGTATACTGAAAACTTAGTAAAAATCTTTATCCTTGGGGGTAAAATAATCATAATTATATGTTTTCATTAAATTAATTTTAAATTAAGAAAATTTAATCTTTCCATAGGGGAAGCTTGTTAACAAGAAATTTGGGTGATTTGGTGAAGAAGGAAGATTTTGTTTTGGACTCAGAATATCTTACCACACAGTTAGTGGTTGTTCCCAAGTATGTTATATTATCTTGGTGTTAAAAAATGATTTTTGTACACTGGATGTTGAAGGAAGTACCTGCTCATCACATAAGTTTACAATCACAATCTTGAGTTAGTGCTGGTAGAATAATTATGATGGTTTGATTTTTATCCTAGAGCCCTTACCTCTGAATGGGAGAGAGTTTATTGGAAACTAACTGATATGGTTGTTCCAGAATCTTCAAAGTGAGTCAGATAACTAACTAATTATAGAATGTGGTGTTTGGATCATCCATTGTCTGTTCCTGAAAAGATGTATGATATCAAATTCTTGCATTTTCTCATAAACTTCAGAAACTGAACAAGTATAAAATAAATGTCAAAGTTCATTTTTTGTGTTGAGAATCTCAAATTCAGCTTTGACTAAAAATGTCTTGATTCAAGAAGATTTACTCCTAGCGACTAAATGCTGAGAAATCCGGGTTATGTTCAGTCAAGAAGATTTACTCCTAGCGACTAAATGCTGAGAAATCCGGGTTATGTTCAGTAATAATGACCAATTAATTAATAATCCGGGTTATGTTCAGTAATAATAACCAATTAATTAATAATCCGGGTATGTTCAGTAATAATAACCAATTAATTAATAATCCGGGCTATGTTCAGTAATAATAACCAATTAATTAATAATCCGGGCTATGTTCAGTAATAATAACCAATTAATTAATAATCCGGGCTATGTTCATTAATAATAACCAATTATTAGAGGATGTTCACCAACATGATGTGATTAAAACTGAGGTCTGAGTTATCTGCTAAAGCCAAAGGCTAATGCAGATAACACAGACAGGGGGTTTGATAATTTATGATATCATATGAAAACAAAATTTACTAACTGTTTTATGGTACACAAGCATCAGCCATTTTGAGTTTCTCTCTGAGTTTGTAAAAGTTTGAGAATGCCACACAGGGAAAGTGCTTGGACAACTAGGCATGGAGATGGGGCTTGGAAACTAGGTACAAAGAAGAGGTTTGGAAACTGGGCAGACTTTCAACTCTTCAACTCTTGTTATAGTACCAAAACCACTCAGGCTTTTCCAACTGATCATCCTTTGATTTTTTTAATTCATATGTTTTTAGGCTGGTTTACGAAGACAACGAACATGGGCTGTACACAGTTACTCTGTTCAAGAAAGTTGTTGATGAGTTTAAACTACATGCAAGAGACAAAAAGTACAACACACTGATTGATAGTTAAATTATTCTATTTTAAAATTATAATACCAATTATTCAGTGGAAGTAACAGCTTGTGTAGGAGGCTCTGCTGGAAATTCCAGTCAAAGTGACTGGCATTTTATTTCCTTCGGTAGTATCACTGCAGAATTAAATATGTAGGGCTTGAGAATACATGAAATGATCTCCAACCAAAGGAGGTCATTATTTTTAAACGACTTCTTATCGTAAGTACCATAGCAAATGTATAAAGAGCAGTATAAGGAATGTTTTTCCTGATGTTAAGGGTGACTTGTTAAGGCCTTAATGAAGACAATGGATTCAGTAACCGTTAGAAGGATGTCTATTTTACTGACTGAAACGTTCGGTAATGAAAATAACTTTCATGATAATGAGGAAGATTACAAGTTTTCAGTCAGTGCATAAGACAAGAGGCAATTTGCTTTCATCAATGAATAAGTGATTAAAATATATAAATTAAGGGGATCATATTGTGGTCACCAGTGAGAATAAATTCATTTTTCGTTGACCTAAGAAGGCCAAAACTCGGCATTCAAATCACCTTTGACTTCTTTATTTGTTTGATTGTTCATATTCTTCATCTTGACACATATATTTGTTCCCTTAGATTTTTAGTTCGAGAATTTGTGTATGATGAACAAGCCCTTGAAGCAGGAAAAAACGAGATCACAAAACTGGAATCAGACAAGAAAAAGCAGTTTGTAAGTTATTTAGCGCGAAGACCGCTCTTGATACTCATTCATAACCAGTCAGAATCCGAAAAAGAAGACTTGCACTAATTTCGGGAAAATAAGCGCAGGTCAAATGATTAGGTCTTTCCTCACACGCGATGAGTTTAAAGTGTTCTTACTTTACTCTTATCGGTTAGGGAGATTGAGGATGATTCAGCCGACCAACGATTGTTCTAGAACAAACAGTCTTTTATGCGTAGTTGTGATTGTATCATTTATGAAGATTATTTTACAAGGTGTTTACTCAATATGTTATGCACATTCCTAGGGTCCGCTTGTGAGGTGGCTCAGAGTCAACTTCAGTGACTCTTTCATTGCATGGATACACGTCAAGGTACAAGTTTGCAACGAATTTTTTCTTACGGTGAAGTAGCTCGTTAAGTTAGCAGCATTGGTTAGAGCCCAGTTCAATTGAGTGTCTTAAAACCAAAACTAATTTCACCAAAGCAGCCAATTAGAACAAAGAAAAATGACAGGGAGCCAGTCAAAACTCAAAGTGAGAACAGGCAAACCGCCCAAACCGCGGAAAACCGCGAGTGACCAAATCGCAATCGGTTGAGGAGATGACGTTAGATTTCCTGACCACTCATAGAGTGTCGTCATGTAAAACCAATCTGATACCGGATTACTCTCGATACTCAATTGAAGATTGCTCCAACACGTACTGAAAGATTTTTTTGATTGAAGGAGGTAAGTTTCTAAAGAAACTGTGGTGCTGCGACGGTGAGAGTAACAAGGTAGTTTGGTTTTATCTATTGATGATGTAGATTGACCACCGTAAAGAATTTCAAAGCTGACGTTTCGAGCGTTAGCCCTTCGTTAGAGGGAATGTTGACAGAGGGCTTACGCTCGAAACGTCAGCTGTGAAACTCTTTACGGTGGTCAATCTACATTATCAACTCAGTTGATAGAACGAAAATTGCCTTGAAAGATTTTCATGTTTTTCGCGTTCTGTGGGTCTTAGTAAAGTTTTTCTGTCGGAAACCGTCTTTAGTGTTCCCTTTTCTCCTACCTCAGTCATTCTTTTCCCGTCTTGTTGTGTCATTGCCTTTTCTGATCATTTCCTTTCTTGTCGAAATTCTATTTGTCAGTGTCCTCTAGGTTGAAATTAGTTTTTGCACTACGCAAAAGTGACTAAAAAACACCATGGCGGAGTTCGCTAAACCTCCAAGTATTCCTTAAATATCTGGTGCTACACTATTTGCGAGGCGTTTAATTTCAGCATACACAATACATGTCTGTTGTATTTCCATATGATCAAACATGATTGTCTTAATTGCAGGCCCTTCGTGTGTTTGTGGAGTCAGTTTTAAGGTAAGCTCAAAATGAATTATTGTTAAGTCAGCCCCGCAGTTGGTTTCTATCGCCATGAAATCGTCCATTGTCACTAAGGCTCAGCTGAGATTTAGAACTAATCAAGAGCCGAACCAAATCCCTCGAATTTAGCAAATGGAAAGTTTGGCTTTTGAATCACTTGACAAGTTAAAACTTCTTGGCTGATTTTTAAGCCTAGCTTGGCCGGGAATGCCTTCACTTTCAATATTTCAGTAAGAATTCTCCACTTCTTGCCATAAATTTCTGACAACATTGGTTCTGAGAGTCTGGTGTTTTGATATTCTCTTGTTTTAGTTTCATTCAATACCTATAATCGCGCGTCTGAATGACAAACCTTAATCGTTGTGAGGAAAAATTACTCATTGGTCACTTCAGGTGTCTGTCGTGGGAGTTCTCTAGAGACCCCTGTAACACAAGTTAGAGAACCGATGTTTTTAAATTGTCAAATGCACTTTGAACAGTAACCCTTATTTAATCCATTTTCTTCTACTGGTTTACAGATATGGTTTGCCAGTGAACTTCCAGGCCATGTTACTACAGGTAAAGTTTGTTTAAACACCCACAATTTCGTGTATTATTTTGAAATGCGCAAGCTTTTTGTAAACGAAAAAGGGATCTTCCACGGCGAATTGCAGTGTTAGTTTAGACATTTTCTTTAGTGCTTATCATGGTCCGAAATACTTTCAATACTGACCTATTCACCAAGGTTTAACAAGACTTGCTTACCACCTACAGTCAGACTCAGATTTGTATTTTCTTTGAGCCTGCTCTTGAAACTTTTCCCTTAATTCAATTAGTCCTGAT